ATATATATATGAAAACATATAAAAGACCCTTAATAAGTCCGACCGACACCTTAGAATCGGTCTTCCAATGTAAATTTCCACGCGCTTTCTCATTTGCTTTATGAATTCACTTTTCTCCTGCTGATACCTTGGGAGTATTATTCTATACGCACATTATCTTCTGAAGCAACCCAGTTATCACCTTCTGCAATGGCCTGCAGACAAATTCAACGCAGCTCTTCATCACGAACGAAGAATTTTGACGTGTTTGTTAGCTTTAGAGGTGAAGATACTCGTAACGGTTTTACTGATCACCTTTTTGCTGCTCTTCGGAGAAAAGATGTTCTGGCCTTCAGAGACGACCAAACAATAAAAAAAGGGGAATTCTTGGAGTCTGAGCTCTTGCGCGCAATTGAAGGGTCACGAGTTTTCATTGTTGTCTTCTCGAAGGACTATGCATCATCCACATGGTGCATGAAAGAGCTTACGAAGATCGTGGAAACAGGTCGAAGTTTGCTCCCTATCTTCTATGATGTCACTCCTTCTGAGGTCCGAAAACAGAGTGGAGAGTTTGCAGAAGCTTTTGCTCAACACGAAGAAAGGTTCAAAGATGACTTGGAAATGCTACAAAAATGGAGGGAAGCGCTCAAAACAAGTGCCGATCGTTGTGGGTGGGATATACAAAATAAGTAAGTATAAAGCTAGATTTTTTATGTTATAAGTCTTTACTTTATTCTGAGTGATGATTGTATTTTTGCTGAACTTTGGTCGCACAGGCAACAAAATGAAGAAATCGAAAACATTGTTGAAGAGGTAATCAACATATTGGGTTATAATCAAATTTTGAGTTTTGGAGATGATTTTGTTGATATGCATTCTCGTGTTAAACAAATGGAAGAACTTCTGGATTTGGGTGCAAATGATGTTGTTGGGCTTGTGGGAATTTGTGGGATGGGTGGAATAGGAAAGACGACACTTGCAACTGCATTGTTTAATAAAATCTCTCCTCAGTATAATGCTTGCTGTTACATTGATGATTTAAGCAAAATTTATTTGGATTTTGGAGCAACAATTGCACAACAACAACTTCTTTGTCAAGCTCTAAATAAAAATGTGGAGATACACAATCTGTCCCATGGAACCATGTTGATCAGAACTAGGCTATGTCACTTAAAGACGCTTGTTGTTATTGATAATGTTGAAAAAGTTGAACAATTAGAGAATTTGGGTTTGCATCCCGAGTATCTAGGCCCAGGGAGTATAATCATCATAATCTCTAGAGATTGCCATCTCTTGCAAAATTATGAAATAAATAAAGTTTACAATGTTCAACTCTTGGATGAAACACATGCTCTTCAATTACTATGCAAAAGAGCTTTCAGATCTAACGATATTAAGGAAGAATATAAAGGGTTGACATATGATGTACTCAAATATGTGAACGGTCTTCCTTTAGCAATTAAAGTATTGGGCTCATTTTTACATGATCGAGATGTTTCTGAATGGAGAAGTGCGTTGGCCAGAATGAAAGAAAATCCAAGGAAGGATATAATGGATGTGCTGCGAATAAGTTTTGATGGATTGGAGAGTCTAGAGAAAGAAATATTTCTAGATATTGCTTGTTTCTTATCGAAATGGGGTTATCATTACTGCGGCGAGTATCAAGTGAAGAAACTTCTAGACTATCGAGAATTTCATCCTGACATTGGTATGAAAGTTCTGATTGAGAAATCACTTATTAGTTGTCGAGATCGGAAGATTCAAATGCATGACTTGTTGCAAGAGTTGGGGAAGAGTATTGTCAGAGAAGAAGCACCCAAGGAACCAAGAAAGTGGAGCAGGTTATGGGACTACAAGGATCTCCAAAAAGCCATGAAAATAAATACGGTAAAAGTTTTTTTTTTTTTTAATATGAAATCTTGGATTCTCATTCTTCAAAATTGTTGAAATTATTAAAAAATATATAATAATTGCTTTTTCCTTTTTATATTGCTTTAGGAAGCCAAAAATCTTGCAGCTATAGTTATTGAACAACGTCCAGAAGAGTTTCTACAAGAAAGAATAAGAGTGGATGCTCTGTCAAAAATTAATCACCTTGAATTGCTCATACTTCAGAATGTGAACACTTTTGGATCTCTGAATTGTATTTCTAATGAACTGAGGTATCTGAATTGGGATAACTTTCCTTTCGTGTCTTTGCCATCAACTTTCGAGCCAGATCAACTTGTAGAATTGCAACTGCGTTATAGCAATATCAAGAAATTATGGGAAGGCACAAAGGTACTACATATTGTTAGTTTTCATATTTCTTTGCCTCCAATAATCAGAAAGATACTCCATCTCATATTTTTGAAGTTCCTTTACATTGTTAAGTTGGTTTTTTCTTTCAATTTTCTTGTCTCTATTTAAATTATCATATTAGAAATATATTTCACCTCATTTTTTGAACTTACTTTTACACAAAAAAGGGAAATGTTAACTTTTTGTCTCCTTCTAATTGCACAAATAAAAAAATACTAAGGATTATCTTTTTGGTTACCTTTTTTTAATGGAAAATTAAATTTGTCTTACTTATGCTTCTCTAACAGATCCTGCCTAAGTTGAGAACTCTGGATCTCAGTCACTCCAAAAATCTTATTGAGATGCCAGACTTAACAGGGGTTCCTCATCTTACGACTCTTCGACTTGAAGGATGTATAGAACTTGTCCAGATAGATCCATCCATTGGTATTCTAAGAGAACTTGTTTATCTGAATTTGAAAAATTGTAAAAATCTTGTCCTTAATCTGAATATTATTTTTGGGCTCGGTTCTCTAAGAGGCTTAAATCTCTCTGGATGTTCAAAATTACTGAATAGTAAGATGTTAATGGAGCCAAGAGACACACAACATTTGGAAAAAGTTGATAAAAATACAAGTGTCGTCCAACGGTCAACATCCTCTGTATACAAACTTCTAATATTGCCTTTCAATTTTCTATCCTCTCCAAAACCTGAAGATTCCCTTGGTTTGTTGTTACCTTATTTATCTCGTTTCCAACGTTTGTCATATCTTGATCTGAGCTTTTGCAATCTACTCCAAATCCCTGATGCAATCGGGAACTTACAGTCTTTAGTTGGACTAAATTTAGGAGGAAACAAATTTGTGACACTACCTTGTACCATCAAGCAACTTTCCAAACTTCGAATGTTGAACTTGGAGCACTGCAAGCAACTAAAATATTTGCCCGAGCTTCCAATAACAAAAGACAAAATAATTGGCAAATATTGGTGGGGATTATACATTTTTTACTGCCCCAGTTTGAGTGATATAGAACACTGTTATAGAATGGTTTTTTCTTGGATGACGCAAAATCTTGAGGTAACCACTCAATCCTTTCTTTCCTTTTCTCACTTTTTCTGTGAACACTTTTTTATATATAACTTGCTGGAATCAGGTTTACTTGCAACGAACTATTTCCTCTGCTAAGACGGAAATTGTTATTCCTGGGACTCAAATTCCGGAGTGGTTTAATAAACAAAATGCTCGTAGTTCAATAAGTGTGGATCTATCATCTGTTATGGATGATCCAAATTGGATAGGTGTTGCCTTTTGTGTACTATTTGTCACACACCAAGATCCTACGAATTTGAGTGAAAGAAGGAATGGTCATCGTGATTGTATTGCATACGGTGTCCATAATAAACACCTTTTTCGAAAAGGTTATTTATTTGTTCCAATACATTTCAAGGAAGATCTGGTGGCAGTTGAATTAGATCACTTGTTTACAGTGTTTTACTCTCGGGAAGAATTCATCGGTCTTCTTACTCAAGATCCAGACAAAATGCTTGATCCTGCTAAATTGGAATTCGAAATTATTTCTAATAATAGTCAAGGTTTACGTATTGTTGTGAAGAATTGCGGATATCGTTGGGTATTTAAGGAGGATCTTCAACAATTACACTTGATGTTTGGCAGAAATTCTTCATCTCAGAAGAGTAAACATCTAAGGAGTGATTGACCGCGGAGAGCCTTCAGCCTAGATATTTCTTCTCAACCACCCCTGCTTCAGAGTAACTTTAATTGGTTCCAGGTAAAATTTAATACAGAAATATTTTGAGATTACAGTTATTCATATATATATATATATATATTGAGCTAGAATGATTCCCATTGTTTGCAGTACTCATTCATCTGGGGCTAAGGCCTCACTTGTTCCGGAAGAAAAATTGATGAATGATATTAGTGACTTAATTGCTGTCAACACTCCCAATAATTAAAATAATATATATATATATATATATATATATATATATATATATATAATAAATAACAATATAATTAATAAGAAACCTGTGAAGCACCGACACGGCTCCCCTCATCCGTGTCGGAGTGTCGCGGACGTTTGCGACACCGACACCGCCACGACACTTCGCGGAAGCGTGTCCGACTCTTTTTGCAGTGTCCCCTGCACCAAAAACGTGTCGCGAGGCTGCGATTCATGTGGACACGGCGTGCCCTAATTCCGACGCGGTGTCGGACACGGCTCCGACTCGGGAACAGGTTTTATAAAAAAAAATTGAATTTTTTCTATTTACTTTTATTTTCACGTATCCTTCCTTTCTTCCTTCCTCTCGCATGTATCCTTCCTTTCTTCCTTCCTTCCTCTCGCACCTTTCCATTTCTGCTCCAAAGCTTTCCTTTCATCCAAAAAAGCTTTCTTTTTTTCCTTCCAGTTTTCCTCTACTGTGCAGTTAATCCGAGAGCACAAACCACACAACGCTCTCTGCCCAATGAACTCCGAAATAACGAAGTAGTTGAAGAGCCACTATTAGCAATGTTGGCAGGGAAAGAGTGGAGGCGAGAAAGACAATGTTGGCAGGGAAACAAATGAAGAGCCAGAAGATGAAATTCCAACCCATTTACGGAGAGGGAGGAATATAGGGTTTGTGAAAGAGAAAAGGGTAGAGAGTTCATTGTTGTTCGGGTATTCCACTTCATCATGCTCTCTTTTGCTTGTACATGGTTTACGTCTTTGTTTTGCTTTGTTTTCCTTTATAATGTTTCATTTTTTTTATTAGAATGCGATAGTTATGAAATGATGAACATAGAAAAATCATATGTTATTGGTTTCATTTATGTAGAAATGAGTAATTCTAGTCGGCCTTTACAAGATGATGATATCAAACCCCTATGGAATTATGTTACAAAGATAAAAAGTGTTGGTGGAGGTGGTGGAAATTATGAGGTAAAATGCAATATTTGTAATCTTACTTTCAATGGATCTTATACTAGAATGAGAGCACATTTGTTGAAGATTACAGGAAAGGGAGTTAGAGGTTGTCAAAAAATAACACCCTTGTCTAACAACTTTGTCTTGAGAAGATGAATGAACAAATCTTAATTTTTAATTTATATATTTCTCATTTGAATCATATTTCAATTTTTATTCATGTCTAATATATATAAGGTGTCCTATATTTTAGAAGTTTGCCGTGTCCGTGTCGTGTCGTGTCTCAGTGTCCATGTCGGAGTCGGTGCTTCATAGTAAGAAACTAATATTTTAAAACATCTTCTTCAACCTCTTTATCTTATCTCTCGAACAGTCATATTCTATTTTCTCTATTTCTAGACCCAGTACTCACTCTCTCCTAATTTTTCACCGGATATTATTTTTTCATGTTACTATCACCTCTACATTTCAACTACACTTTATTTTTTTGGTTCATCATTCACGCAAAACCCTCACCGCCACTTGCCTCTCTCTCACCCCCACACTCTTCTTCAATCTCCAACCAAACCCTGCGTGTAAACAAACAGAGTCCCTCACTGGCCATCGACTTGCGTTATTTGATTATCCTAGTGTTTCTATTAGGCCCCTAAGGTTTAGATTAGGATTGATTGTTCTTGGAGTTGTCTAATCCTGCTCTGTTGTATATCATGATTTTACCCCAAGCCAAACATTTAATTTGATTGTCTGATTGTAATGTTCTATTGAAATGAATTGGATTAATAATTGCTACTTATATTGGTTTAATAGTCCTTCCTCAATATAAAGAAATAGAGTTTGAGATTAATATTGTTTATATATAAATTAGACATGGTAATCTATTTATAATACAGAAATGTACAACTAAAAGAGTAATCAAAATTAAATAGAATAAACAAAAGATATTGTTTAATATTATGGTTAATAATATCTAAATAATATCTAACCCTCTTCTCAGGCTGGAGCATACAAATTATATGTGTCAATCTTGTTACAAATATAATCAATTCTAGGTTCCCCTAAAGACTTAGTAAAAATATCTGTTAACTTATCACTTGAGTTAACAAACTCAGTCTTGATGTCTCCAGATATAATCTTTTCTCGAATGAAATGAGAGTCAATCTCAATGTGTTTGGTCCTCTCATGAAAGACAAGATTAGAATTAATATGAAGAACAACCTGATTGTCTCACACAAGTGTCATTTGAGTGACATCTCCAAATTGTAACTCTCTAAGCAATTGTTTGAGCCAAATAAGTTCACCTGACAGTCTGAGGCCATAACTCTATATTTTGTTTCTTCACTCGGATCTTACCACAACACTTTGTTTCTTACTTTTTCATGAGATCAAGTTATCACCAATGAAGACACAATATCCAGATGTAGATCTTCTATCCGAAGAGATCTTGTCCAATCAGCATCCGAGTAGCAAACAACTCTTGTATGGTTATTAGAACCATATAACAATCATTTTCCAAGAGATCCTTTAATATACTTCAAGATTCGAATGGTTGCATTCCAATGATCTTCACATGGGGAATTAAGAAATTGGTTTACCACACTGATCTGCAAAGGAAATGTCGGGACGAGTAACTGTAAGATAATTCAATTTTCCAACTAATCTTCTATACTTCTCAGAATCGGATATAGACTCCCCCGAGTTTAGTATTGGGATCCATGGATGTATCAACAGACTTTGAACTCATCAACCCAATTTCCTCCAAAATATCCATGACATACTTCCTCCGAGATATAACAATGTCATCATTAGACAGTGCCACCTCAATACCCAAAAAATATCTAAGTTTGCCAAGATCTTTATTTTGAAAATGGTGACGAGAGATGTTTCAAGTGAGAGATGTCATGGTTGTCACTATCTGTAAGAATGATATCATCAACATATACTATCAAGTAAACGCACCCAACACTCGAGTGTCGATAAAAGACAGAATAATTTACTTCACACCAAGTCATACCAAATTGTTAAACAACCTTGCTAAACTTTCCAAACCAGGTCCTAGGAGACTGTTTTAGGCCATATAGGGATTTGCAAAGACGACATACCATCTCGGAAGACTCCCTTTGAGCAACAAACCCAGGAGGTTGCTCCATATAGATTTCTTCTTGCAAATCATCATTAAGGAAAATATTTTTAACATCCATTTGATAAAGAGACCATTGTTGAAGAGCGATCATGGCGATAAATAAACGAACGTAAGTCATCTTTGTCACGGGGAAAAAGGTATCTCCAAAATTTGAGTATAACCTTTGGCTATAAGAGGAGCTTTGAGGCAATTAATAGTACCATCAGGTCCAACTTTGATAGTAAACACCCACCTGTAACCAAAAACAGATTTCACGAGACAGTAACGAGACCAATTCCCAAGTTCCACTATTATGAAGAACACTTAGTTCATCTAACATGGCCTGACGCCAACCAAGATGGGTTAAAACTTCACGAACAGCTTTTGGAATAGTCACAAAAGAAATAGAGGAAAGACATGTATAAAAAGGTAATGACAATCGATGATAACTCAAAGCAATATAATGGGGAGAAGAATTACGTGTAGAACGAATACCTTTTCGGAGGACAATGAGAAAGTCGGACTCGGGTGTCGGATCCGGAGGAGACAGGATAGTTGACACTTGAGTGGAGTCACATGGTAGTGGTTGTGATTGATTTTTGCAACTATAAACCCGAAGAGACGGTGGAGAAGAAGCTGATCGCAGAGCAAGAATTAATGGTAAAGAAGACACAATTAGAGGGTAAAAAACAACAGGAACATTAAATGTACTAAGATTGTTGACAGGATTGGATGGAGATAGAGGTGAACATTGAATTTTAAAATAAAGAGAGAACTCATCAAATGTGGCATCTGCATACACAAAATAAAGGTTAAGAGAAGGAGAAAAACATTTGTGTCTTTTTTGTGATCTTGTAAACCCTAATAAAACACATTTATGTGATCTAGGAGAAATCTTATCAAGACCAGAACTGAAATTATGAACAAAACACGTAGACCCGAAAACTCTTAGAGGTAAGGGATGAAGTGGTTCATGAGGGAATAAAATGGAATGAGATATTTTATTATCTAAACCGAAGAAGGCATGCGATTAACGAGATAACATACAGTAAGAAGAGCATCACTCCAAAAATGTTGAAGAACCTCTCCATGAATTAAAAGAGTGCGAGTTGTTTCAATAAGATATCTAATTTTACGTTCAGCTACACCATTTTGTTAAGGTGTATAAGCACACGAAGTTTGATGCAAAATACCGTGAGAAGCCATGAATTGTTTAAAAGAATGAGAAAGATATTAACGATCATTAGCACTACGCAAAACTCTAATAGAAATACTGAACTGAGTTTGAATTTCATTAAAAAAAGTTTTAAAGATATGAAATAATTCAGAACGATTTTTCATCAAGAATAACCAAGTGCATCTGGAATAATCATCAATGAAAGTAACAAAGTATTGAAAACCTAAAGTAGACTTAACACGGTTAGGTCCCCAAATGTCAGAGTGAATCACGACAAAAGGGGACAAAGCACCACATGTGACACTACGAGAAAAGGAAGTATGACTATGGTTGCCTAATTGACACGACTCACACGTCAAACTAGACAAGTTGAACAAGGCAGAGACAAACTTTTGTAACTTGGCAAGACTTGGATGACCTAACTGAGCATGAAGAAGAGAGGGAGACTCCATAATTGCACCAACATGTGTAAAGGGGCAGAGATGATAAAGA